CGGACCGGCCGGTGTCCCCAGATAGCTAGGGCTCCCAGCATCTCCAAGAGGAATGCCAGGCTGGTTTCCCCACCTCTGTCTTGCCCTTATGTTGCTCCTTTTACTACAATGCTTTCCTGGAGTCCCCCTTGAACACATTGTAGAGTTTGTTTTTAAACACTAGCTCTCTTGGCACGGATTACTGAGAGCCCTGCAAGGTTCCCGGGCTTTCCAAGGGTCTGGTAAAGATGAGATATGAAATACATTTCCCTGAAAGAAAACAGTGCGCTTTCCCTTTTGCTGAGGGCAAGGTAGTGTTTGTGGTGAACAATCTTCAGGCACCTGGGGAGAGGGTATCCTCTTAAAGATGATGCATGCAAGAGAGTTTCTCATTCAAAAAGGAGTCTGACAAAGGGCCAAATACAGCTTACACTGTTGGATCCAGCGACAAGTTGTTTATTTTCAACAAAAATAAGTGAGGAAGACAACAGAGATTGTTCTCTGTTTATATAAAAAAATAAAGTGACCATGTATCTGCTATGGACAGGAAATGAAACTTTTGCAGGGTATCTATACAGTACATTCAGATATATGACTATATATTTAACAAGCATAGCATGACTATAAATTTAACAAGACAAAGGCCCACGACTTAGGTGGCTTTAAGCCACTTAATTTCTGGCCTCTGGGCCAAGCAGTCAGGGATTAGGGAGATGGCTATGTAAATGTTTCTCTGGGTGGTGACCTTTCTGTGTACTCTCTCCCTGTGATTCCTATTAGTCTTCAGGAATTGAAAAGATGAGAATGGTTTGCATACTATTTCTAATCAGCCAAAGGGCTTTGTGTAGAATGGAGTCCTGAAACATCTCTGGACACAGATGGAGTTACTATCTACTGGTGTTCCCTCTGTCCAGGAGCCAGATCCAAACCCCATTTATAGCCAGTGCTCACACTGGATCTCTTTTTAAGCTGTAGCATTCATTTTAAAAATCATACATTTGAGGGTTTAGGGAAGTTTCTTTAATATGAAAAATAAAAGTATTTCATTTCATTGTTTCCAAATAAGACAGAATGATATAAGCATAAATATAATCCATATTTTTCTTTATCCAGTATTATTTTACTTTTATTTATTTTTCTTTCAATTATGGTGTTGTACAAATAGTCCTCACAGTCTTTCTAGATCCAATGATGTGTGGAGTTTTCAGGGAAATCCAGACACAGGGTCAAATAGTAATAGGAATCTTGTGTATAGAGGCAAATTAACTTTGGTTCCTGGTTGTAAATGAGGGAGATTACAAGTGAGGAAGGCCCTGTGCTCAGGGCCTGGCTGGGTATATTTTCATTCAATAAAGCCTCGAATTTACATGTTTCCAGAATTTACAATCCCCATTGAAAGAGTGCGATAGAGAGAGGAGTGTAAGCAGCTCAAAGCCCATGCAGGGGAGTGCTTCATTCTCCAGCCAGGCATCTTGGGGAACACTGAGCACAGACATCAGAGGCTCTTTGTCCTCAACAATGAAGCAGTGTGTGTGTGTGTGCCTGTGAGACACCTGCCCTGGAGTGGGCTGAAGTGGTACTCACAGCATGATCAAGATGCAGTGTTCCCCAAGCCACACTGGTCGGCCGGCAGTGGTTACTGGCAGCAACTCACTCTGCTCTGGGAGTTTGTGTAGTCTATACAATCATCGTGTAAAAGTAATAGCCAAGGCAGTGAAGCTTTATTTTCTGATCAGATAAAAGACAATTCAGCATTCTGGTGTTGCTAGCTGTTTGTTTTGCAAGCATAAAACACCATCGGCTCCTTTTATTATTTTAATGGCATTGGAGTTTTACGGGAGGAGATATGGGAATGGGATGTGGACAAAGTAGCCCTTGAATACAAAGGGACTGAGATGGGGAGCTTGATTTTCTTCACATTCCACTATGACCAGTGACTCTTATTCCCCTTTTCTTTGAGGAAAAGTACCAGCAGGGCTTCACAATCTTCTGCTGGTAGCTAACATGATCTTACCAGCTGAGGGATTTCCTTAGTTTTCACTAGGAGTGTCCAAGCTGCCAGTTCTTTTCTCTTTGTTTAAGCTTTTCCATGATCCAAACACTCAGCCAACAGAGCACCAGCTGCTTAGAGAGGAGTGAGCGAATTTGAACAGGGCAGCCAATGTTTGTTGACAAAACTCATGATCCAGTGCTATCTATGAAGCACCTACTGTGTGCTGCTAGAGGTTGGAAGACTCAGGACATGGAAACCTCACAGAGGCTATTCTCTTAATCCTCCTCAAGTGAGCTCATGGAATAGACTGGTGTGCTGCTCCACCAGCTTTTCTGTCTTCATTCCATGTGAAGTTTTATGTATTAAACATAGCATCAGGTTGAACTCCCTATGACAACCCCTTTTAAAATGGAGATTGAGTTTACAGGTTTCTTCTTGCTAGGCTTTACTGTCTCCCATCTCTCTCCATACCCTGTATCATCATACAACACTACATATACCACTTGGATGTATAATTACAATACACTTCCAAAGGCTTTATTAATCAGAAGCCATGAGAATGCCTTTGGAATGCATTTCTGCCGTTGGATATTTTTAATTTTGGTACTCACTGCTGCCTGACTTGTTTGAGAGACACCATTGACTTAGTGGTACCTATTGGAAATTCTGATAAACCAACTGACATTGGGGGTTACCTGAAAGTTTGGAGAAAATACAATCCTATTAAGGGCATGCATAGTTCAGTATCCTGTTTCCTCCTCTTTTACAGGTTTTAGTAAACATCGGCAACCACTTTGACCTTGCCTCCAGTATATTTGTGGCACCACGAAAGGGGATCTATAGTTTCAGCTTCCACGTGGTCAAAGTGTACAACAGGCAAACAATCCAGGTGGGTCAGGGTTAGAAGCCCTCGAATGCTTGGTAAATAATGGGGGGTTGGGCTCTGAGTCATCTGAAAAACCTATCTTTCAGGTTCCAGGTGTGTGGGCTACAAAAGTCAGATTGAGGTGACAATCCTTAGGGGAGGAAGAGATCAGGATGTGGGGAAGGAGGTGGTCTCTGCTCTGTTGAGCTGTCCTCTCTGCTTTTATAGGTCAGTTTAATGCAGAATGGCTACCCGGTGATCTCTGCGTTCGCAGGAGACCAGGATGTTACCAGGGAAGCAGCCAGCAATGGTGTTCTGCTGCTTATGGAAAGAGAAGACAAAGTTCATCTCAAACTGGAGAGAGGGAACCTCATGGGAGGCTGGAAATACTCCACATTCTCGGGCTTCTTGGTCTTTCCTCTATAGACATGGAGCCAGCCTGACAGTGGGAAGGTTTTGACCAGGACCCAGGGATCTGCCCTCTGTAACACCTTGAACTTGTCTGAATAGGATGGCTTGGGCCGACCTCCATCAGATTGTTGCCGTAGAAGAATGATTTCTTCTAAAGCTCCAGTATTTTCTTTGACTATTGAATATTCCTCGGGAACCTGGCCTCTAATTAGTTTTAGACAACAAGATCTTAAGGAGAAATGAAATTATCGATTTGAGCAATTTGTACCTGTGATTGTAAAGTGGATATCGGATTTTATTGTTGGAACCCATTGACTTATCTTCTATTGTTTGTAAGTTGTATCCTTGTCCTGATGACATAGATGCTGCCGACCCTCTGATGGATTGCACGCTGCAGTCAGGGCTTAAAGCAAGAGCCCAGCAGAGAAGCACCTACTGGACAGTCCTTGACCTGTGTTCTCTGTGTGTGTAGCCTTAAGAAAAAGAATGGCTTCATTTTTATTCTGTAGCTTACCCCTGGGATCTTGGGAGGATTGGGAGGGAGCTGAGCATTTTGGGCACCTGTCAAAAAGTGCTTTATCCTGAGAAGCAAATTTTGCACGACTGGACTGCAATTTTTGTTTTGTATTGTCCGTGGTTTTATCTTTTTTTTTTTTTCCTTCTGGACGCTTTCTTTTCCTTCCTCAGGTTTCACTCCTCAAACCTACTTAGTTTTCATGCTGGGGTCCTGGAGAGAGAGAGAGACAGAGGGGAAAAAAAAAAAAAAACTTATGTTCAGTACTTGTAAGAGATCAAACAGAACAAAACAAAATCTGCATACTTTCTTTTGAATGAGAGGAAACCAGGGGGAAAAAGTCATTCTTCTGAAGTAAGGACAGCAAGTAGATCACCCTGCATATTCTTCCCTGAAGTCTCTCTCAAATGCATCTTCAAACTTGCAACCTGGATTTCATTTATTTATTTTTTTAATTTATACTCTGGGATCCTTTAAGAGCCTGGCGTTCCTCGTTGGTCATGAATCCCTTAAAAGTGGAGCTGAGGTGGTCAAACCCCTCCTTGCTTTTCATCTTGATGTATCTCAGTGGTGAGTTAGAGCTGCCTCTGAGTGACCACACAATGACCAGATGCCTCAGAAAAACAGGACCAGCACATCCTCAGATCCTCCTTGATCTGTCAAGGAGAGGGATGTGTTGATACTCTGTGGATGAACACCTGGCCAGAAAGTCACCTGGACTGGAAGTCACAGCAGTTCAAGGTACTGGCTGCTGTAGCCCTTCAGTGGTTTTTCAAACCCTGCTTGTTTTGGCATATTGTGCAACAACAATATCCAGTTACAGCTGAGAGAACTGGTGCAGTATGTGTGCACCAAGGAAATGTCACTAATCCCAAAGCAATCAAAGATGAGACCTCAAACTGGATGTCAGTTTGTCCTTTGTGTAACAATGTAACCAAAATATTGACGATAAAACTCATAATTTAAGATTCAGAATAAACGGGTTTGATGTCTATCTTGCTCTAGTCCCTCATCATCGTCTCTCTCAAAATGATGGGGAGGTATAGGATAAGTACCAATGACCTGGGGATGTTTTTGTTGTGATTCTTTACATATTCAGTAAACACACACACACACACACACACACACACACACACACACACACACACTAATGCAGCTATAGGTCTCTAGGGGTATATTGCTCACTTAGATATATTTAGTTTATACTTATGTATTTTTGCAAACTGTAAGATTTTGGAGGAGAGAGTTAAAGGACAAAATTAAGGTTTAAGAGGTAACTTAGTAATGTCAAACACCTGAACATTTGAGAAGGCTCAGTTACCCAGTTCTTTTCAGCTTGTGTGTGTAAGGATGAATTTCATGGTCAACAGGCAAGTGCAGGAGACACTTTATAGTTACAGTGGATTAAGAAGCTTTATTCTATTGAAATGGTGTTGTCTTGTAAGAAGAGAAAAATCATTTCAGGTACTCTGACTCTGGCATGAAGACGTATTTCTAAGTGTGAGCTGTATTCATTGATGTTGGGAACATAAACAGAAGGCAGATGGAATGTTTGTCCCTTGTGTTTTGTTATTCTTAGATGTTTTAATTCTCTTTCCCTCATTTCCTTAAGTTCACGCTCAATTTAAAACAAGCAAGAAAACCTCATTTGAAGATAAAGATAATATTACACTGCAGAGATTGGAAGATACAGGAGTCCTTGTTATTAATATTTACATCCTTTAATAATACATAAAGCACATATTTCATTGTATTTATATCTTTATTGTGCACAGATTGCCACTTGGTAATACTGTCTCATAAATAAGTTATTAAATTAACCAATATAAATGTATTTTGGGAGTTTATTTTCTATTAGAAAATCAGCTTCCTCCTGATGGTTGTACTCTTAGCCTTGTTTCTTTTCGAGTAATGAGAATGCCAGAAAGTACATTAGTACGTAGCCCTCATGGTAATGTTCTGAGGTGGCTTACTATCCATTGCAGCATCTGCCTTGGTTATACCCCTATAGAAACTATGTAGATTTATTAGTTGCTAAATCAATTTTCATTTATTTATCAGAAGAGTTGTAAATTACGGCAATCAAAAAAATACCTTTGCTGAAAATTCAGTTTGCTTGTGATATCCTTGAGAGATATGGCACTCCTGGGCTTGTCCCAGAAGAAACATTTATGTCAGGTCAAAAGTTAAGATGCGAGTTTTTTGTTTGTTTCTTTGTTTGTTTGTATTTAGAAGAATGGTCTAACATTTGTAGACAGAGCCATTCCTGCTCCTAGCCTCGGTGTTTGTATCTGCAGAGACAATACCCAGACTCCTTAGAGTCATTCCACCCCTCAAGGCTGTGAGAGGACCTCTCAGAAGCTCTTGGAGAATGATCAGAGAACACGGGGGTAATGAGTGAGATTTTTACAGCTGGGAGAGTCTTTTCATAAAAGCATATTTTTCAATGTGTTGTTGTAAAGATCACTTAATAAATATCTGACAGGAAGGTGATTGTGCATGAAAGTGTATTTCCAAAATTCTCAAAAGACTACTAAAGCTGTTGTGTTATGTTGAAGTTCCATTAGTTTAATTTTTTAGGGATAAGATAATATAAAATTCCATAATATTGAATTTATTTGGATTCTCAGTTATGCTATTTGATTGCCCCTTGCGGTTCATGCTCATCTTTGTCTTCTAGTATATACTGCCAAATCTTATAAAAATATATGCTGATAATAATATTATTCATAAAAGCAGCACAGATGACATCAGTATAACCAACATAAGCTTTTTAATATTAGCTTTCTTTCACTGATAAATGTTAGCTTTTTAAAGCTGTTAATGCTTTTTAGGAAGTACTCTTTTCTTAATTTAAAATATATTCTCAGTTGACATACAACCCTCATGACTGAAGTCTAGGTACTGGAATATTGTGTTTACCACCTGTGATTCCTGAGACATTTTTGGACTCTAGTATTTTTGTTAAATTTTCATGTATGACAGGGATCATCTACATTCTTATAGTGTGTGCTTTTTGTACCTGCTCATATCAAAGCTCGTATGGACAACAGCTATTGAATACTGCATAAAAACTCATGCCTCTATAAGGATTTTATCGATTTATTTATTTGCTTGAAAAAAAAAGACTGAATACTGCATAAAAACTCATGCCTCTATAAGGATTTTATCGATTTATTTATTTGCTTGAAAAAAAAAGACTTAGCTAACTCAACTTATATTGGACTTCAGAAGAATTTTAAAATACATAAAACAAAACACGATCTTTGCTGAAATTTGAGTTGCCTGTCATGTTTTCTTAATGTTCAAGAAACCACAGTGGTCACATACTCAGTGACAGTTATGTAGCATAGATACTGTTGCCTTTGAACACAGCAACATACAGTTTTTATTTTAGTGATGTTATAATAAAAATACTTGGATTATCTATATTTTCCTGGGATGTAGGAATATGTAAGAGAAATGTTTGAACAAATTACCTTCTACAAGCAAAACAAAGCATGGTTGCTACTTCATGCTTCAACTGTAGCAAAAAAAAAAAAGAGAATATTTTGTCAATTATGTGGCCATATTTTCCACTCTATTATTATTTTTTCATAATGTTTTTATTTATTATAAAGAAACAAATATTGTAATAAGATGTTGTTGTTGTTAATAAATAGTTAATATGTGTTTAAAATCCTGCAGCATAAGAATATAGCAATTAGTTCAAATATACAAATGAATGAAAGTCATGCTATTTTTAAGATGGAGTAAATATAGAAACAAGTTTCATTGAGTTATTCTAAAGGGTGATTTTTTTCATGGTGTGGAAGAGGCACTTGCAAAAAAGTAGCAGTATATGAAGTACAGAATTGCAATAAGTTTTGCCCTTTTGCAGTTTTTATATGAAATTTTCTTTATCTTGATATTGCTACTAAAATAAGATATAAAATAGTTTTTTTTTAAATTTAAGAACAAATCCTACAAATTCTCTGGGAAATTTTAATGTTACTTTTCTTAGCATTTAATGAGGAATTACATCAAATACCCTGAAGTAAGTTAACATACCAGTGTCACATTGGTTTGAAACTTCTATTTCCTTGTGTTCCATAATTCTTCTCTGACCTCCTATGAGCTGAAGAACACAGACATTAATCAAGACTTTAATTTAAACATTTCTGTAGAAAAAAATCACCAAAAATTATGTTTACTGCTTTGCTGATGGAGACCAACCATTTAAAAACAAAATATATAGTACACACACACATATACATACATGCATATATACACATAGTATGAGTGTGTGTGTGTGTGTGTGTGTGTGTGTGTGTGTGTTGCTTTGTTTCACAGCTATCCATGATGTTACTGGACAGGGTCAGTGTCCACAACCCTTTTTCCCAAAACAGAAAAGTCATATAATAATACTTAAATGATTCTGAGGAAAAAAAAAAACTTCAAGCAAACTTATCATATCTACGGGTCTATATACTGACATTATATCAAAATATGGATGTTCAGT